CAAGCTATCACATATTCTTAAGGGGAAATTCATATATAATTAAAGAATTATGGGACCAAAGAGATGAGACATCCATCAGGCTCTGAAAATTATATTGTTTCTCAGCTGCTAAAAAACAAACAAACAAACAAACAAAAAATAGTTGCATGATGCCACCAACCATCCTGCTGTAATCCAAGAGACAGAATTTACTCTGAGAGGACAGAACTGTGATTCAATCAGAATGAACGTTTGGGTGTGTGTCTCTCCAAGCACAACTTTGATGGGGGATGGAACTTCTAAAATATGGTAAGAATCTTAAGACAATGTTCCAAAGGATGAAGAGGTGAAGAGGCCTATGAAGTCAGGAAAGCAACATTATTACCTTTGCTTTTGGTTACTGTTGACAGATGTAGCTCCCTCAGTGGGACACGCCTATAAGACGGGCAGCAGCAATTTGACTTCAAAGTTAGCAAGTCTTGTGGGATGCTTCCCAAGTCTCCACCTTTGCTCCCTGTGCTATTTCCTGGACCAATCATAACCACACTAAATGATTTTAAAAAGGACAATGTTAATTTCCTTCCTTGATGTTTCCAAGTGTGTCTGTAATAAAGTTTTCACATAATTTGTAACTCAAAAATAATAGAAATAAGTGAGAAGGACTATAAGGGAAGTGTAAAGGCATTTCAGAAACTGTACAGGCAGTTCATGCTTTTAAAAATATTTTTATTTTAAAGGCAGAGTTGCAGCTAGAAAGGAGGAGATACAGACAAATCTTCCCTTCCAACGGCTGGTTCAGTCCCCAAATGTCCACAGTGGCCAGGCTGAGCCTAACCTCCGCCAGGTGCTTCTTCCTGGTTTCTCACACAGGTGTACCATGGCCCAAGGACTTGAACCATCATCTGCTAATTTTCCAGGCCATAAGCAGAGAGCTGGATTGGAAATGAAGCAGCCGGGACATGAACCGATGCTCTTACGAGATGCCAGCATGCGGGCTGAGGTTTAGCCTACCATGCTAAGGTACCAACTCCAAGTCATTTCTTGTTAAAATAAATGTAGGAAAAAATGAGCATTTAAACTATTCAAAAGGTGATCATTTCAATTATATTTCCTAATGGCAGACAAAGAGTTTATATTACACAAATAAATTAATATATTTAGGAAACTTATTAAAAACATATAACCTCCAAACAAAACATTGATTATACAAATGGAAAATGCTCACTGCTTGAACATTGAATATGTCTCTAAAAAATCAAAGTCTCTTAGGTGCAAAGAGAAACCCACGATCTATAGCTCTAATTCATTCATTGCAGTGCCTCTACCATTCCAGCTGATGTGATCAGAATCCCGCCTCTGCATTACCTTGGGACAGGAACTTTTCAGTTGGTTTAAAGTTACTGGCTTTTACACATACCAAATGGCTGGTCTGTTGATGTCACTTAAGGTTATCTTAGAACAATGCTTATGAATTCCATGACATCTGTTCTCTTTGTTAATAAAAACTAATTAAAATTTTGAAGATATCCTCACTCTGATTTCTAGGTAGTTTCTACACTGATGGCATACGTTCTCTCTCCTGTGTTTTCACGTATCCTCTGCCGAGCATCCTTGCTTCTGCACCTGTCCTTCACTCTGTCCTTGGGTAGGCTTGTCCTTCTCAAGTACGTCAGTCCATGTAACTGCACTGCTGAAAACCCACCATTGGGACTCCTTATTTTTTTCTGATAGAAGTCAAATTTTGGCAGTTTCCTTGATTTCACCTATGTGAAATTTGGGCAATTAAATGGCTAGGTTTGAAAGAACAATATCATTAAAAGGTGCAAGGATCTTAAACAAGGTTGAATATAAATCCTGCCAGATGAAATTTATCATTTTGTACCTTTCAGGTGCACTGAAACAAAGCAGAAACGTAATTTTACAACTTTCAGGCAATTCTCTGAGCCTGCCCATGGATGAACAAGAAAGTTCATTATGCAAATACATTCACTTTTGATTCATAGGAAGTCATTTTTCCATTTTCAGCTCTCAGAGAGCTAGTTTAAAGGTGTTGGTGATGACCTGGTTCTAACAACTTTCCCATGAAACTGTTGCATTTTCGGTAATTTATTAAGACAATGAGAGAATAAAATCTGCACTCATTAAAACTAACATAGCTTTGGTTAGCTTTTTGAGCCACAAACCCCAAATCCAGACTCAGTAAGTTACATAGGAGGTCTTTATTTCAGTAACAGAGGTGGCTGTGGGGAGAAGAGAGCAGAGTCTGACAGACTGCTTGCTCCCTGGTGGGAGATAGCCCAGGACCACTTCCACATGGCGGGGTAACCATGTGATGGAAATGGCCACCCAGGGTACACAGCACTGGACTTTCATACCTTCTAGTGCAGGGGGTGGGGAAAGACGGCGGTTCCTCAGTTTGCACATGCTTGTGATGTGTCATGGCAGGTGTTGATCTTCTGCATAGGCAGAATCATTTCTGGATGGCGTATCTGCTTGACCTTGGGAAAGATAGCACCGAGGTTAGTGAAGCTTTGTTCCTTTTGTGGCCAGAGGGAGGCAGTAAGGAGAACGAGCACTGGGACTCTGCTGCTTGGTGTTTCAAGGTTACCAGGTGTTCACACTTTGTGATAAACTCGCTTGTTTCCTAATAAATTCAGCTCCTTCAGGAGTCGCTTCTGCTCGGCCCAACAGCTTTTCCTTGTGTTTCTCCTTTGTCTTCTAGGAGTATGAGGGTGGAAGATTCCTTGGTCATTTGTGAAGAACCTATGTAAGGTGTTAAGAATGAAGCCTTAACATGTACATACCAAACCAAGTTAGAAAACATTCCATGTGACTTCTGTTTGTATATAGATTATACAGTAGGCTATATTTACAGGGGTATATATCAGATATGAATAAATATATGTGTTCAAACTTCTTTCCTAATTTCTATTTACATATTTCTCAACACACATACGTACATAGTTTCACATGCAATAATATGTGGACTGTAACTAGAAAAATATATTTTGTTCAATGACTTTAATATCACCATGACATTTCAAATATTGATGTATTCACATACAACTCCATCTTTTGACTTTTTGATGTGTCTTCTTTTCAATATTCCCCAAATCCATGATTTAAATTATTGAAGTGGTGCAAGAATACATATATGAAACATCACAGAATTAAAAAGTTGCCATGGCAAGGCAGGAAGCACCATTTCCTCAAGAAATGAGCTATTTAAAGGGCTCCTACTAGAACTGCCTGACACCTGCAACTACAAGACAGCTTTCATCTCAGATTCATGTTTTTTTTTAATTTTTAAAGAAATCAGTGGCTTTTTATTATACTTCTGCTTTTCTATATATTCATCAAATTAAATTTTAAGTATCTCCCTAATTACACAATTGGTTTACGACATATTCTGTGATGGTTAGTTTTCTAATTCTCAGATGAATGATTTTTCCCTAACAGAAAGGCACACTACACCAAAGAGTAAACTTGTAATATCAAACACACCTTTCTTTTAAAGTATTCAGGTTTATTTGCCTTTAATGGAAAGTTTTATGATTTCACAAGTCAATAATTACACAAAGAATGGGAAAGAATACAAGAGTGCAGTTGCAGTGGTGTGGCAATGTCACAGCTCTGTTCATTGCACTTCTCTGGGTCTTTATTTTCTTTTTTATAAAGTTCAAGTAACTATGAAAAATGATCTCTAAGTCTCTGCCTGCTAAAACATGTGGTCTCTGGTTTTTCAGGCTGTTGTTATTAGCTAATATTCTTTTCCTCTAACCTCAGCCTCCCACCTGTGCCAAATGGTCTTGGGATTCTTTGGGGGGACCTTTGCTTCTTGAGGTGCTCTAAACGTCAGGCAGCTCTATGATGCCTGAAAATGTCTAGGCCCTTTTATTTTTTCAAGGAGTGCTTGATAGTATAGGAAATAGGAGAAGAATTGATAAACTGATGTATTTTTAAAAAGAAAGGATATTTTACAAAAAAAAAATACGTTTCAACTCAGCAGCATAAGAGACCTATTACTTGTAGGGGCAGGATAACAACAAATAAAGAAATACATTACTCATAAAAGTTATTAAAAGCACCTCAATAATCTCTATGATATTAGTGAGTATTTGTGTTATCATGAACCCAAGATGAACTGCTCTTGAAGCCTGATGAAGTGACTGCTAAGTTGCTTGGTGGGAGCACTACTACCGCAGCAGTCACCATGCTGGGCATTTCTTGGGGTGCCATTGGCAATCCCATGAAGGGGGAGAAGCACCTTGTGCCTTGCCTTTACAACTTATAGTGATCATGGTTCTGGGGTATGAAGAGAAGAGGGGCGAGCTATGAGAGTCAGTGTGTACCACCTTGAACTGTGTTGGTGTAACAACTATCCAAATCAAAAGCGGACATAATTTATCACCCAACCTTCACCTGTTAGCCATGTGTAACTCCTCCAGAATTTGGGTTAATTTGTTCTGTCTTTCTGTATGTAGAGGAAATGGTTGAAGGTTTTATTTCATTTGAGAGACAGAAAAAGAGGGGGGGTAGTGAGTGCAAAGGGCAGGGAGTGAGGGAGGGAGGGAAAGAGAGAGAAAGAGAGAGCGAGCGAGCTTATCAGCTGCTTCTTCCCCAAATGCCCTGAATAGCTAGAACTGGGCTGGGAGTAGGGAAGTACATCTGGCGAAGTAATCTGGATCTCCCACGTAGGTTGCAAGCACGCAGTGATTGAACCCTCAGTTTCCCCCAGGATTTGCAGAAATAGGAAGCTGAGATTGGGAGCTGGAGTTGAGCTTCAAATCCAAGCAACCCAATGCACAGAATGCTGGTGTATCAGGTTTCAGGCTAATCATATGAACCATGGTTGAAATTCTAATTAGGGATGAACACATCATTTATATCTATTAGAGATAGTCATACTCTCAGAGTTTAGAAAACCAGTATCTATTGTTTTTAGGTATATGGCAAACAAAAATTCAGTAAAAACAATCATCAAATTTGAAAGTCTACATCAGCTTTTATTTGCTGAATGGGTTTTTTTAAAGCACAGTTCATGCTGAGAACACAGGTAACACAGTTTATCTTTGTGTTTCTTGTTTGTCAATATCACATAAAAGTACTGTGTTTTAATTATTCAGATGGTACATGAAGTATATAGTAGGCATGCTGAAAAAGTGTGGATTTTCTACTTGCAAATATTGCTTAGAATCTGATATTTTTGTCTTAGAAGACATCTATTCTATAAGGAAATTGACACTTTTCCCAAGGTAGAAAAATATGATGCTACACTAATTTGTATTGACTATTCAAATGTCCGAATACATTTTACCTGCTTATGTATATTTCAGTTTGTATCCACTGTTTTGGCTATGCAGCACATACAATGTTTATGTAATATGCAAATGTTATACATTGTATCTTACTAGGCTAATGTAACTATATATTACCTTTTATGTACTCACCAACTTAACCCATTTTCTATAAGGTACATTTATTCACATACACTTTTCTACCAAAAATAACTTTGACAGAAAAATTTTAGCTATCTGAAAATAAAGCCTGATTAAATATACTATACCTTTAAGCTTAACACATACTGAAATGTAAGAAATATTATGTTCAAATACACAATATATAATATATGTAGATATATATGAACATGCATATGATTCCATTCACAACTAAACCACACAATAAAAAGAAACACATCTGATTTTCCCAGAAGCAGATACTGATTCTCAATGTCCATTTTCATGTTCTTCTTCAGTAACGATAGTTCCAGCTTTAGTTGTGTACATTTCACCTGTAATGGACAGTGAGAATTTCCAGACTCACTCGCTGTAACATGTGCCTTTCTGGCAAAAATCCGGTCAATGAGACAACCGCAGGACTGTCAGTCACTTCAGGACGCATTTTTCTTCCACTTCCAACTTCCTCCACCTCTGTGAAATATGAAGCAGACAGCTCAGACTCCAGAATTTGCTACAGATTATAGATCCTTAAGAACAGAATCCATATTTTGTAGAGGGAGAAATTTAGAAGCCGGCCTCCCATCACAGCAAGACACACGCCCCTGGGCCTGGACGGCCTCTCTGGCAATCACTGTCAGCGGAAGGTGAATGCTCTTTTTCCGTGTTTTGAGAAACCTCCTTTATACCATCTCACTTCGCCCTCTGGGGCAGAAGTCATGATTTAGAGCCAGACATTCTATAATACATCAATACGGCACTGAATAGTCCAATGTAGCTAAATTTGTTTACTATAAAGAGACAAATTTCAGAAGTCACAAATCACTTGTGTTTATTGACTTGATATTCTTTCAGTAATGCAGAATTTCAAATGTCACCTGAGTCACTGAGTCATTTCTTCTATGCTTTAGTTAGAAGCACAAACTCTGTAATCAACTTCCTGTTTATAAACGCCTACATTTATTTTAAAAACTTAGACCTTTTTTTTAATAACAGCATATTTCAAGATGAAGAGTTCTGAAAGTGGAAGACACTTTCTCAAAAGTTATATGCTATGTTGGCATTATTTTTTTTGCCATTTGTTTCGCTAATTATATACCAGAAAAATACTTGATCATCAAAATTTAATAACTGTAAGTAACACAGAATATCAACCAAGATCCCAGAAACTGTCTGTGATGGAATCAATACTTTTGCCCGCACAATGGACTGTGTAAGCACTTTCCCAGCCAGCGTTCCGTAATGGTCTTGACAGACATGGCAATAATCATATTAACACTGCAGATACTTAAGTAAGGTATTGTATAAATGTTCCAGTCAAAAATGCTTAGTTTACAATTCTTATTTGTTTATTGATGATGGAAGTAAAAAAGGACAAAGTCTAAACACCTAAATTTAATGTTAAGTCATGAAAATGTACAAGATAAAAATGTCTTGAAGCAAAAAAAATCAACAGAAATATTTTAGTATAATAATTTGCTTTGCCATGCTCTCTTATTTGGATGTATTTAATAGGAATATTTAATTATGATTAAAATTCTTGAACAATCATACATGTGATATCTTAAAAACATCCTAAATTTTTAAATAAGGTAATAAAGACAAAGATCTGAAATATATCTAAAGCGTATTGTCAAAGTCCAAAAATTAGGTTGAATTTCTCAAGGAACTGAAAAAATAAAAAGGTACGGATTCACATCTTAACAAATTTAAAGAAGAGATATTCATAAATATAGAATATGTTATGCCACATCATTAATTCAGAGCTGTGATTCCTTTTTGAGTGGGGATAACTGTTTTATGCTGAATGGAAAACAAGTATATAACCTCAATGTTTCCTTACCAGACACAATTTTAGTTAGGTTAATATGGTTATTGTGAAGAGGCACGCACTCGTTATTGAATTCAAGGCTGTGTCTCTTGTCTTTGTAATCTTAGCAAATGAAACATGGGTTCCCTTTAAACAGGTAAGAGATAATAAAAAGATCAAGGTGCTGCTTTCATGTTCTTAACAGCAAAATGCTGAGAGCATCACAAAGATGCAGATAATGCAGCCAGCCCCATTTAAAGGTTACGACGTTAGAGGTGCAGCATGCAAGACCGGAGTGATAAATCATATTAATTTTTCTGTATCATCATAAATTATAGGGAATTAATTTTGATATATTTTGTCTGTGTGCGACTTGGCAAAAATTGTTTCTTAGGTTTGCATTTTCACCTGTCTGCATGACATACCTTAGGAAATAAGGGAAACTGTTCAACTTTTTTTATAACGGAAAACAAATATTTTTCTCTTAAGGAAATATTTCTTAATACAACTCCAGACAAAGTAGTGAAGAAGATGAACACATCTTAGATGTCACCAAGCTCACAAACATAGAACACACTCATGACCTTTATGTAGACATAATTTTATAAAGACAGCGAACCTGTTATATTCTCAAAAAGCAGAAAACCATTACTGATCGGCTTTATATGCTTTGTTTTCAGGTCATTATCAGAGCAGTGTAAGTTGCCAGAAGACATTGTTCCTGAAAGCACAAATTCTAAAATATCTAAAGAAAAGGCTCTCAGAAAAATGTTGGAGAGAAATGCCTCCTGTATTTGAGTTTATTTTATAAAAAAAAAAGTTCAAATCGAGGGATATTTTCTTATGAATCAGGTTGTCTGCATGCTGCTTAGTATAAAATTTTCATAACATCAATAATTATGTCACAATATTCAAGCAAAGATAAGCATAACATTATCATCCTGGATCAAAATGCCTGTCAATATCGGATGGTCGTGGAGGATGGCTCCTTTATGTAAAATAGAATTTTAAATCATTTCAATTGACAGCTAAAATTATGTTAATTTATGCACCATATTCTGAAATAAATATTGACTGAGAAATTAACATATGTATTATTCTACACTATTCACATTTCTGTTTTAAAAATACTTATTTTTAAAATTAATTTTTAGTTGAAAGGCAGAAACAAAATACTTATTTTTAAAATTAATCTTTAGTTGAAAGGCAGAAACAGAGAGAAAGAAAAGAAGAGGGAGAAAGAGACCTACTGGCTTCCTCTCTGAATCCTGGCAATTTCCAGTCCTTAAGAATCTGAAAGTCAAACAGGTGTCCAAGTGAGTGGCAGGAGGACATGCATTAGCAGGGAGCTGGACTCAAAAGCAAAGCTGAGCTTGAGCCAAGCTCTCCCGTATGGGATGTTGGTATCCCACGTGGGGACTAATCAGTGTCTTAAATGCATGCATCTGTTTAAACGTTTCTTTCAAAAATGGCGCAGCTTTCCATGAAATTTATTCTGATTACTGTTTCAGTTGTAATTTAAGTTTGATACGTAACTGGAAGAATGCCACGAAGACGTCTAATAGCCTTTGTAGACACAAACAATGATGTTGCTGAGAGTAGTTGGAACACCAGCTGGAGTAAATTTAACCAAGGATATGAAAGATCTATGTCCACAGATTTTCCCTTCTAGAATGAGCCATCGCCAGAATCTTATGAAGTATGCACTTTTTCAGGGTATATTCTTCCATTTAGTTTGTCCTGAACGAATGTTTCCCAAGCATTATTTCCCAGATGTATTGTCATAATTTTCCTGACATTCTATTTTTTTTTGCTTTTGCACAAAAATCACTTTTAAACATAATATTTTGATATTGTTTCAAATGTGTTTTTTGTAACTGAGAGGTCTTCATAGAACTCACTGAAATTTTCTCCCATATTATCTGCTATAAGTTTTCTAATTTCATGATTTTCAGTTAGATGAATGATCTATTTTGAGTTAATCTTTGTGAAGGAATTGAGGTCTGTTTCTACATTCTCTTTCTCCCTTCCTTCCTTCCTTTTCCTTTCCTTCCTTGCTTCTTTCCTTTCTTCCATTCTCTTTTCTCTCTCTGTTAATTTTTTTCCTATCTTCTCTTTTTGGTAGCTACATGAAGTTGTTTCAGTAACATTTGTTGGAAACACTTGTCCCATCTAGATTGTCTTGCCTTTGCTCCTCCATCAAAGATCAACTGATCTCATTTTTGAACTTGCTGGGTTCTCTTTTCTATGCCATTCAACTTTTCACTAATACTGCTTTTTAAAATTTGTTTATTTTTTTTATATAGTTCTACATTCTTCCACCCTCCCCAAATCTCCTACCCTCTACTGGTTTCCCATACATCACATGGGTTTTGATATTTTGTTCTTGTCTTCATTTCTTAAAAATGTTTTCTTATTCATTTCTTCAAAGATTTATAGGTCATATAGAATCATTTTTTTCCTTGAGAAGATTTTTTTATTTTCTTTTCTATTTCTTCAGTGACCATTCAGTGGCCATTCAGTTATTCATGTTGTAAATTTTCTAATTTTCTTCCAATACTGCTTTTCTCACTGTAACTTTCATTACTGTAATGATAGTACATATTCACACTGTGTAGATTTTGATTTCCAATTGTGTTATTCTCCTTCAGTATCATACTAACCACTCTTTATCTTTTGCCACCATTTACAAACTTCAAAATAATTTGTTGGTATCCAGCAAATCTGAGTGCACAGAATAAGCACGGAAAAATGATAATGTGACAAAGCGTTTACCTGTGTAGACATATTTCTACCTTTACTTAGCTTGTAGATTTTTTTAACGTTGCATTTTATAGTTTTTAGTCATAAAGATACCATATATATTTTGTTAAACTTCTACCTGTTTCAGCTTTATGTGCTAGAATTAATGGAAATATGTTTTCATTTCAAATTTCACTTGTTCATTGCTGGTACATAGCAAAGTGCTTGCGTTTCTAAGAGTTTAGCATTGAGTCCTCTGTATTCTATGCATAAATAATAATTCTACAAACAAAGATGGTTTTAATTCATCCTTACCAACTTCTACAACTTTTTTATTCCAAGAAATTAAACAGAACTATTACTGCCTCACTCTGAAGAGGATCTGGTATGAATCTTAAGAAATCCAAAATAGGTTTTGGGAGGAAGTCCTTTTATATTTCTGCTTTTTGTTATGAATCGGGGTCAGTATTTTCATTGGTTTGATTATACCTACATAATAACCATACCTTTTTTTCCCAGTTAATCTGTGTAAGAAATAACTACATTTTTTGGTAGGGAATTTTCCTTGAATTTTTAAGATAAATATCATATGACGATGATGAATATTTTAGAACAGTCTAGATCCCATTTGCCAGGATGGCCCTTAGCATTTGAGCATCCGTCATAACAGATGAATCTCCCCTTGTGTTTTCTTATGCTTTTCTCATCAAGCTCAAGTTTCAATGACTTACCACTTCATAAAAACACATTAGAAAAGGATCTTTCGAACTTCTCTAAAATATGTGTTCAACTGATTTTCATAGTTTTGACATTTACCATTACAAGGCAGTTATAAACTTGGTTTACTTGTATTCAAGATGATTAAAAAGTTTTATTAATGGCTGAAAGAGTTACAATAATAATTGTAATAATTGTGATCATT